ATTTATATAAAAATATTTACAATACCATTCTTCTTTACAGCAACATAGCTTAATTGAAGACTTCTTACAGAGACAGACCAGAGACAGACATGAGACTGGAAATCGAGCTCCTAACTCATTACTCTTTTTGCACAGACTGAGTAGCACTTTTCTCACATTGGCTGACTGAGTTACCACATGACTCTTCCTGTTCATGAATATTCCAACACTCCTCCCTTCATGACAGGAAGAGACATCAGACCTATTAATACATTAATTGCAAAAAACCTTGTGCCACTAACCTGGCCTTATACTGTACATCATTATTTGGCAATACCTTTTTCTTATATACCCACTTACAACCCACAGCTTTGGTTCCCTGTGGCAAAGTCACTGATTTAAATACTTCATGGTCTCCCATGGATTTCATCTCCTTAGCCATGGCCTCATTCCATCTTTCTTGTTCAGCTTTTGGTAATGCCAACACTTCTTTATAACTTTTTGGCTCATACCACACATTGCAAACCTTTACCTTGCTGGCAGAATACCTGTCAGGCGGAATTCCTTTATTACATCGCTCTGACCTATGTGGTATTAACTGCTCCTGTGTCTCAATTCTTTCTGGTTTCATGTCTTGTTCAGCCTCTCCTCCCTGAACATTGACATCTTCAATAATCAATTTTTTTATCATTAGATGAATTATTGTCACTAAACAGATCACCGTCATTAAGTGAGACATACCCAGAATTTGCATTAATTCTGTCCCAATTTTGTTCTGCAAAATTAGCAGACCTTGAAATTATAATTCTTTTACTTCCATCACTAAAGTGATATCCTTTTGACCCTGGCTCATAGCCCACAAACCTGAGCTTTCTTGCCTTTTGCTGTCCCTTTCTTCTGATTGCCTTAGGAATATGTACCCATGCAGTACTTCCAAAAATTCTCAAATGTGCCAGTGATGGCTTTCTCCCATATAGAATGGCATATGGAGTATTATTAATGGAGGAACTCCACAGCCTGTTAACTATATAATTGGCAGTCAATATGGCTTCTCCCAATATGACCTGCTCATACCAGAATCCTCTAATAATGAATCTTTCATTGTTTGCAAAACACCATTCCTTCTTTCAGCTACACCATTCTCTGCTGCTGTGTAAGGATTTGTACTTGGACAAATGTGTCTTATCCCCAACTGCCCCAACCATTGTTGGAATTTAGTTGACATAAATTCAGTACCTCTGTCAGTTTGCAACTGACACACTTGTTGTCTGTACCTTCTCTCTACAAAACTTACCCACTGTTTGAATTGTTGTAACACCTCTGTCTTTGCTCTAAGCAAGTAGCAAAAACTATACCTGCTATAATCATCAACAATTACCAGTGCATATTTTGCTCCTCCCAACTGGCTTGCATAGGTCCCACCAGATCTGCATGGACCAGCTCTAGAACTCTTTTTGTTTGTCTTGTGCTACATTTACGAACTGGGAATGCCTTTGACTTTGATGCTTTGCATACTGCACAGTCCAAATATGTTTTGCATCCCTTCAAATTTAGCCCTTCTGCAAAATCTTGCATTTGCTGCAAAACTTTAAAGCTTGCATGGCCAAGTCTTCTATGCAGAAGATGAACACATGAATCATGCTCTGCACCATTCTTAAATATATGGGAACATTGAACCTTTTGTCCCTGCAATACATATAGATTATCTTCCTTTATGTCTTCTGCACATATATTCCCATTCCTTTTGATGAGACATTTCCCATTTACAAAAATGACCTCAAAACCTTGTTTGTCTAAATTAGACACACTTAACAAATTATGTTCCATCTCAGGTACACAAAGCACACTGGTAAACTTTGATTCCAAATATGGAATTTTTACATCGCCTTTTCCAATGACTTTTGCTTTCTGGCCATTTGCCAAAGCCACAGCTTCTTGTGCTACTGGAACAAACCTGCAAAATAATTCAGAGTCATTAACAATTGTTTGTCTTGCCCCACTATCAATTAGCCACTTGTCTCTGTTGTTGCTATAGCAAACTTTTGCAACACCAAAATGTTCCTTTTGCAAAACAGTCCTTTTTCCTTGCACAAATGTCTTTTTCTGCAAATTGCTCCTCTGAAAACAGTTCCTTTGCAAATGTAGCAAGTCTTTTCCTGCCGAGCAGCTCTCTGCTTGCAAAATCTCTCCTTTGTTGCAATTTGGTCCAGGTCTGATCTGCTTGTTTCTTCTCCTCTGGAGACTTGCAGTCTGGACCCCTTCCTCAGGAATTTCTCCTCCTCGTGGCTGCTTCTAAAATGGCGTTTTTCCTCTTCATTAAGCAAACATGCCTTTAAAGCCTCAAACTTTAAGTCTTGTTCTTCTTTGCACTCAAATATTGCAGAAACTGTTATCTAAACTGTTGAACACCAATAAAACCTTCTGGGACTCAGGGATTTTAATCCCACGTTGTTCTAAGTCCAAAAATAAACTTTGCATTTTATTTAAATGCCGTTCCACAGATTCGCCTGGTTGCAAACAGGCCCTGTAAAGTTTTCTTGACAATTGCACTATATTGCATGCAGAAACATTCACTTGCACAGCTCTCAACTTCAACCATAGCTCCTTTGCAGTCTTTAAATTTGTAACATTAAGAAATTGATCATCATCTAAATTCAAGATGAGATAAGCCATAGCTTGATCATGGCTTTTCTGAAACACTGCTGGAAACACTTGTGGTGGATTTTCAACAATATACCACAGCTCTTTTGCTTTCAGCAAACATTCCATTTTTGCAGCCCACACAATGTAATTCTTCTGGCCCAAACGAGGCACACAGCTTTCTTTAAATTCCATTACAGCCATTCTGCTAATTCTGCCTTGTTCTTATACTTTTTAAACACAGGCAATTTCTTCCAGCTTTAAATTACAATGCAGTCCTTAGTAAGTTCTGGGCCCATAACCTGTTAGAGAATTTTAATTTCTCTATTGGTAAAAAAAAATAAATCAGAAGCTCTCACAGTTGACTGCATTTAGCTGATTCAAATAACTTTATATTTATATAAAAATATTTACAATACCATTCTTCTTTACAGCAACATAGCTTAATTGAAGACTTCTTACAGAGACAGACCAGAGACAGACATGAGACTGGAAATCCAGCTCCTAACTCATTACTCTTTTTGCACAGACTTAGTAGCACTTTTCTCACATTGGCTGACTGAGTTACCACATGACTCTTCCTGTTCATGAATATTCCAACACAAAACCTCAAACAGGAACAGGAAACAACCTCAAAAGCCCAAGAAGGTATAAAACCCCATCACTCCCAGCTACCTGTGGTCAGCTTTCCCAGAGCCACATTTCTGCCTGGCTCTGCTCTTCAATAAACTACAACCTTCTTTCTAAAGCAGTTCCCTTTTGTTTATTCCCAGCTTGGACTGGACCGTGAAGAGTTTTCTTTCAACACCACTTAGCAATATTTCTTTGACTTCACAAGGAAGGACTAACAACACACAGGGACACAGCTCCCACAGGTGTACAGCAAATCACCTATCTTCTCCCAAATCCTGAAAGCGTAGGAAATACAATATCTTTCATTTCTCTGCTTTGTGGTTCTACCTTCAATATGTTGTATAAGGTGCAGGGAAATAAATTTTATTTCTGACACAGTTGTTGTTTGGAACAGTGTAGAATTATGAAAAACAAATAGGTGGAGACCAAATTAAACTATGGACACAAAAAAACAAGAAACAACCTGTGTCTCTTGATCATTTTCTTGTCAATATTCACGTTACTCAGTCCCAGTATCAAACAATATTCTAGCAATCATCCTTCTAAAATGTCAGCTATAATAAATTTCAAAGCAAAGCACAATCTATTGAGACATAATATCAATTTACGGATTATGGAGTTCATTTGCTTTTTGAAGGTGAGCTAGGGAATCTCACTTAAATATTGGAGTGAGAGATCGATTTGATCAACATCCTTGTTAGCAGAATTCAGAGTTGCGTAATTTTAAACCCGTTTATCTTTTTCAGTCTCTTTCAAAGTAACTGGAATGCATGTATGCAGATCACTAATAAATATTTTAAGTCTTTATAATCCATATTTGCTCATTCTTATCACTTAACTCTTTTTTATTCAGATTTTAAAAAATGAATATTCCTAGAAAGGCAGTAAAGATAATGAATTGTGAATAAAGTTCAAAGTTAATTATCAGTAATATAAGAAACCCTGAGGTGTTTGGCTATACAAAGAAGATGAAAGAGGATCAAATCACAAAACAAGTATGTGAAGATGAGAAGTGAGATGTTCAAAATCATACATGAGATCCATGAAATTCTGAAAAAAGAGATCAGTGGAAAATTTTAAACATGTTTAAAAGATAATGTAGGAATCTGCATTAGCCTATAGAAGAGATAAAAATATTTTGAAAAGATGGAAAATTATGAACAAGTAAAACTAGTTTTAGGCATACTGTCTTTTCATATTTCATGCTTTGTAATTTGTGTTAGTATTTGTTACTGTTTTTGCGATTTTCTCACATCCCTACTCCCACCCCGAAAACAGCACCCGGGCTATGCACTATATGTCAGTGCTTAGTAAAAGCGATGTAAAAGAGAGAGGTTATATATCTTCCAGGTAATGATGCAAAACACAAGCATTCATTTTCTAAAAAAATACCCCTCCCCCTTTTGTATTTTATTTCTCTTGAATGATATCTGGAGATCTCTTGCCATGCAAGAGACTTTTGCTAAATTGCTATTCAAGCGGAAGTCACGTGCGCAAGATCTGCTCCCACCATCCTTAAATGCTTGGCACTTTTGCAAACTTTCAGCAGTGACCACTAAAGTCGACCTCAGCGCACTCCCAACTCATTCACTGCTTCCATCCTTATGGTGTCCGCTCTGAAGATTACCACTGTAATACCAACAAGAATTACAAAATTTTGACAGCGCCCGAACTCTTTGCGCAGGCGTATTTAAGTACTGAACTTCCCTATTTGCCTACGCATGCGTATGAGCCTCTGGTGAGTGATTTTTTAAAAAAAAAAGTATTTTGAAGGATTGAGGCGCAAGCGCACTTCAATTGTCTTTCAGAGGGTTCCGGGAGTTAATAGTCGTCAGGGTGAGCCTAAGACGAGCTTTCGGGTGTTGCTTTCATTTAATTCTCGCTCTCTTTATTTGACAAGGTAAGTACATCTCTTAATACCGAGAGAGAGATGGCTCTTGGCCTTTGAAAGTTCTGAACCTGGATTGTTTGAGATCTTGATAGAGAAGCTTTCTCAAGATTATATCAGATTGCAATGATCAGAGCCGAAGCCTATTGCATACAAAATAGATTTCTTTAGTAGAAAAAGGTAGGATAAAACGATTATTTTATTTACAATGCTGTTTCTTTGCTGCTTTAATAGTTGTAAGTCAATGCGTGAGATGTGGCCCGAATTTTCTTGTTGTTGGCTCAGTGGCTAGAAGATGGGTGAGGAGAATCCATTCAGCAGCGAAAATAATAATTACTTGTATGCATATTCCACTATAGTTGACAGGAGATTTTTATTTATTTATTTATTTATTTTGTGGTCTTAGGATGTTGCTATGTTCATGGAATCATAAACAAGCCAACCATTCTGTAGCTTAGCATGCTATGGCAGTTTTACTAGTATGGTAAGTTAATCTTTCATTATGTGCAAACTCAGAAAATCAGATTGAGTAACAGCATTTATGCAAGCCATGAAGTATTTGAAAAAAATAATAAAAGCTATCCAAGTATAATCCAACAAATTTACAGCATCAGGTTCCTCTTTAATTTTTCTGGATCTCTCAACAAGTTTTGATATTGAGAATTATCAGATTTAGATTATTTGTAGGACCCAAATAACATTAAATAAAGATTTCAGGAAATACATGGTTGTAATCAAATACTGTTGGAACACAGTGATTTATAAGATATTACATTTCCTTTTCTGTGCTCCTGTACATCTTACTGAACAATTTAAATCTGATCCTCAGTGCTTTTTCCTACACATACCCTGTTTTGTGCTTGTTCCATTCACATTTATTATAATTCATTTTGTAATATTTTATTATTTCCAAATAAGGAAAAATATTGAAAAATGATTGCAGAAGGAAGGGGATTTAACCTATTAATAAAGCACACTTTATAATACATGTTACTACAGTTTACAAATTAATATATTTTAAAGCTGATACTTTATATATTGTTCAATACTGTATGTCAAATTGATAAAATGTCTAAATGGTGTTACTTTATGTTAATTGCCATTGTTTGTTTTTTGTTCAGTAAATTTATTTGCTGCTCATCTTGCCATGGGGATACTCTGAGCAGCTTACAACAATAAAATGGGAAAAAAAAGATATAAAATACAAAAAAGTAAAGAAATAAAACAATATAAATAAACAGTAGAAGTACAATTATGAAATTTAAAAAAAATAAGTGGAGAGGAAGCAGAAAGCTCAGGGGGAAGGTAGGGTCAGCTAGTTAGTGTGGCAGCCACCTCTAATGATACCCTCCCCCATTGGATCCCCTGTCCAAACAGCAGAGCCAGGTCTTCATGCCCTTATAGAAAGATAGGAAGGTGGGGACAGACTTCACCCTGGAAAGCAGAATGTTGCAGAGGGCTGAAGCTACAATAGAGAAAGCTTAGTCAGAATTCCTTGACCAATGGTATCCTCAGTAGGCTTCTTTGCCGGCATGAGGAGGACAGACTTGTCTTAGTGATGATTCATCCAGTAGTTTGGATCTATGCCATGAAAGACATTAAAGGTCATAACCAATAGCTTAAACTGCAAAAGTAGCCAGTGCAGCTCATGAAGCATGGGTCATTCTATAGGCCCCCAAGATTGCTCATGCTGCTGCATCTTGTACCAGTTAAAGCACTTCAAGGGTAGTCCCACATAAAACACATTGCAGTAATCCAAATGAGTGATATACTAGAGTATGAGTGACCGAGTGCAGGAGTCCTGATCCAGGAAAGGCCACAGTTGGTGCATAACCAAAGCTATGTAAAGGGTCTCCCAAGACATGACTGCAACCTGATTTTCAAGCAGAAATAAGTCCAGGAGAACCCCCAAGTTGTAAATTGGTTCTGAACGGGGGAGTGCAACAGAACTAAAATTGTCAAATATCCAGATTTTGAAGTTTCATGCACCCAAAGCCACTCAATCTTACCAGGATTTAGTCATAGCCCATTGTCCCCCATCCAAGCCCTCTAGATCAGACATGTCAAACTCTCGACATCACATGATGTCATGTGATGTATCGAAGCTTTTTCCCCATTATCGGCAACGGGGTGGGCGTGGTTTCCTCATGACGCGTCCGGCTCGTGGGCCGGCAGTTTGACACTCCTGCTCTAGATTCTCCAGGCACTGTGAGAGGGTAGCAACAGCATCACTTAGGTCACTCAGATATGGATATATAAAGTTGAGATTCATCAGCATTTTGGTGATGTTTCAATCCATGGTGATGGACGGTCTTATCCAGCAGCTTCATTAGATGTTAAACAGGAGTGAAGAGAGTACTGAGCCCTGCAATATGTCATACAAGAGTGGCTAGAGGCTGGATATCTTACTCCCTATCAACACTGATTGGGAATGGCCTTGAAGAAAGGAACTAAACCAGCATAGAACTTGCTGCTTAATTCTAAACTCTATAGCCAGCCCAAAAGGATACCATGTTCGACAGTATTGAAGATTGCTGAGAGGTCAAGGAGAGTCAAGTTCATTGCACTGTTTTCAACCTGCTCTCACCAGAGATCATCCATTAGTTTGTGGCCTCTGTCTCATAGCCTGGCCTGAAACCTCACTGAAGGAGGACTAAAAAACTAGATACATCCTCCGAAGCTGCCAAGCAACCACCTTATCTATCACTTCCCCTAAAAGGAGAGATGGGAACCTGAATGAAAATTGTCCAGGCAGGTGGTATAGAGTGAAAGTTTTTTTAGGAGTGCAAATAAGGGCCTCCATGAAATGTTCTTGGAAGCTCCCTCTTGCAGTTAGGGATTTATCTTTGCCTGAATCCACCTGCTGGTCATTGTTCTGAGGCTTTTATGAGCTAGAGCAGAGGTCGGCAAAGAACCACTTGGACCCGTTTCCCAGAGAAAAGAAAACACTAGGAGCTGCAAAACTTGTGCACGTGCCTATGCGCACAAGGGGGGAGAGCTTGATTGAAGTGTTTAATTAAAAAATAGCTGTGCATGAGTTCTCTCTCTCTCCCTCCCTCCCTCCCTTCCTCCCTCTCTCTCTCTCCTCCCTCTCTCTCACTCTCTCCGATCTTCTGCTCACTTGGTAAGCTGGCTTCATGACAAGCTGACACTCATTCTTATTGTGCTGGCTCTCTCCTGCCCTTGGTCTGCCAGTCCTCTTCCCCCACTCAGGGTGTGTGTGTGTGTGTGTGTGTGTGTGTGTGAAAGAGAGAGAGAGAGAGATGCTGCTTTCTGCTGCTTCCTGCTGAGACACAGCAAAGGCAGGAGCCCCACCCATTAAGCTTATCAGTTTGTCTGAGAACAGCTTGAGGCCACTCTCTTTTTTACACAAACACACACACAAACACACACACACACACACACACACACAGAGAGAGAGAGAGAGAGAGAGAGAGAGAGAGAGAGAGAGAGAGAGAGAGAGAGAGAGAGAGAAGGGAAGCGCAAGTGCCTCTGTCTCTGTCTCTCTCTCTCTGCAATTGGTGGAGGAGGCTGGGAGCCACAGGCAAAGGCTCAAAGAGCCACATGTGGCTCCAGAGCCATATACGACTCCAGAGCCGTGGTTTGCTGACCTATGAGCTACAGGGACAAGAGTCTAACTGACAGGTAGTTGCATTGATAGCACTGAGCTGCTAAATTCTTTTACTTAAATAGGAGAAATAATGCAATTTCGCTGCTCTTATCACAATGAGGTAGGCCTTAATAGTTGCTCTAAGTTTTATCCAGCAGCACTCTAGGTATCTCTTGATCTTTTTCAAAACCGACAGTTCCTCTATGAACTATGGGGAGTGTTGGGGTTGATGGATGAAGAGATGCCATATAGGCACAATCTTGTCCAGAGTCTTGGCCACTCTTTGATTCCAAGGTGTTGGTAGAACCATATAGCAAATCTTTTGGGACATTCCCAAGTTCCTTCTGGAATCCAGTTGGGTTCATCAGTCTTCATTATAAGAATACTAGAGTGATTTTTTTCTTGTTACCCTGTTTTTCCATATGTTTCTTTCAAATATTGTATAGTTGTTTATTTGTTCTAGTGTGTAAAGGTTGAATCATGGCAACTGTCCCAAACTATATTAATCTGAGACATTTTGTTGCTCATCAAAGCAACTTCATCAGTCAGAGCAAAATTAGTTAGGCAGAGAGTCAGAGAGTTGCTGAAATGTATCAACTCTTGCCACACCAACTTCAGGGGTTTCTCCCCAGAATGCATAGCAATAGGTCAATGAAGATTCAATTATCCAGGCCAAAGGTATGTAAAGAATGAATCATGGCAACTGGAACAAACTTTGTTAATTTGAGATGTTTTGTTGCTTATCCAAGCAAAATCATCAGTCAGAGCAAAATTAGTTAAGCAGAGAGTCAGAGAGTCGTTGGAATGTATCAACTCTTGTTGCTATACCAAGTCAGCTCTGTGACTTTCTCCAAAGTTTGGTCTCATTGCTACGATTCAATATTTAGATCCCTTTGGCCTGGATGATTGAGTCTTCATTGACATATTTGTTCTGGAGCTTTTCTATCAATATCATGTGCTAATGACAGACAAAGTCTTCAGATTTGTTCCCACTTGGAACCCATATATAGTGCAGATCCGTGTGATATATGCATGGGGAAACGTCTTGCTCAATTATCTGGGAATAATTTTGTTAGAGAATTTTAATTTCTCTATTGGTAAAAAAAAAAAAAATCAGAAGCTCTCACAGTTGACTGCATTTAGCTGATTCAAATAACTTTATATTTATATAAAAATATTTACAATACCATTCTTCTTTACAGCAACATAGCTTAATTGAAGACTTCTTACAGAGACAGACCAGAGACAGACATGAGACTGGAAATCCAGCTCCTAACTCAATACTCTTTTTGCACAGACTCAGTAGCACTTTTCTCACATTGGCTGACTGAGTTACCACATGACTCTTCCTGTTCATGAATATTCCAACACTCCTCCCTTCATGACAGGAAGAGACATCAGACCTATTAATACATTAATTGCAAAAAACCTTGTGCCACTAACCTGGCCTTATACTATACATCATTATTTGGCAATACCTTTTTCTTATATACCCACTTACAACCCACAGCTTTGGTTCCCTGTGGCAAAGTCACTGATTTAAATACTTCATGGTCTCCCATGGATTTCATCTCCTTAGCCATGGCCTCCTTCCATCTTTCTTGTTCAGCTTTTGGTAATGCCAACACTTCTTTATAACTTTTTGGCTCATACCACACATTGCAAACCTTTACCTTGCTGGCAGAATACCTGTCAGGCGGAATTCCTTTATTACATCGCTCTGACCTACGTGGTATTAACTGCTCCTGTGTCTCAATTCTTTCTGGTTTCATGTCTTGTTCAGCCTCTCCTCCCTGAACATTGACATCTTCAATAATGATTGTTTCATCATTAGATGAGTTATTGTCACTAAACAGATCACCGTCATTAAGTGA